CCCCAAAACCCCAAAACCCCAAAACCCCAATTAAAGATCAAATGTTGAAAATAAGAAATACTGATTGTAATATTATTAAATGAATTCTTATAAACCCAAGAGCAACGTAAGTCTTATTAAAAAGTTCACATTTGAATATCCCCCAAAAGTTTGCATGGGGAACTTATATGTCTTTTTAGAGCAAAGACGAGGATTATGACCTCTGGGATGTCCCGAATGAGTCCCCAGCTGTATTAAATCTTGTTAGTCCTACCAGGAAGTGACACACAAGCTTGCTAATGAATGATAAGGGAAGCATTAAGAAGAGCGAAATTGGTCAATTTATGGAGTCATTAGGAAACCACTTCACTATGAGAAATGATTTATGCGTTTCAGAAAGAAAAAGAAAATCCGAAAACCAAATATTCATTCATGAAGTTCACATCGCAGAAGAAGAGTATGATAATAAATATCGACCAGAGGCGAGAATTCGTCTTTCAAATAGTGGAGGTTTGCATCATCAGAAGTCTTCATTGAAGAACTGGAGTCATAGGAAATTTTGTCAGACTAGTTGAGTCTCTAAATATCTAAGAAAATGGCGTACCTGAAATAAGAAACCTAACATCATTACTCTCAAACCTTGTAAGAAAGATGTTTCTGAAGGGACAACAGAAATAACTTCTAAAGAATGAGTGATTACAATGAATGATGTTCTGCCTGCAGCTGGAGAAGGCTCTATTTAAATTCATATAAAATTATTTGTCATCAGGAAATAATTCATCAAATCTGATATTTACTAATAAAGCTCCAATCATATTTTGATATTCTGAATTCTTTAGAAATAGTCCCTCTTTTAGGGTCAGTCTCAGTTTTTTCAGAAGGGTTTTTACTTATCTGCCTTAAAAGTTCTAAAGATAGTCAAATTTAGTTGGATTCAGTTGTATAAAATATTGGTTAAAAATCTCCAATGTATCCTAAGCTAAATGTTTGCAATAATTTACTTTTAGAAACATATTATAAGTCAACATGCAAACCCCGTTGAAATTTTAGAAATATTTGAGAAGAAGGAGGCATTGGGGAAATGGGTGAAGGAAGTGGGATTTAGAGGGATGAGGGTGGGAGGAAGAAGGGTATTTGGGGTGGGATTTTGGATTATGGGAAAATTAGATGTTGGACTGGATTTGGGAAGGTAGATAAAATAAGTTTATTGAGGGTGCAGTTTTATTAGATGGTGTGGTTTTTAATAATTATGTGAAAGAAAATTTGTGGATAAGTTACAGCAGTGCAAATTACTCCTTCTCTCAAAAAATAGTGAAAGCTTAGGTAAAATAATTAAAAGGTAAGAAAAGCATAAAAATCTCAGACAACCAAAATTATGACAAATTAGTTAACTTCTAGCATCTTTTTAATATTTTTGAACAATCCAGTTTAAAACTGACTGTCCTTTTGTGAAGAAAACCACCTTGAATATCAAATTTTATGACTGACCATAAGCTATATAATTAACAGAGGCTAACATTAACTTTTCAAAATAAAATTAACACAGGTATTTAAAGGTAGATGAAGCTTTCAATTATGGTTTCGAAACACGGGGTTTTGGGGTTTTGGGGTTTTGGGGTTTTGGGG